GTTCAACGGAAAACTACTGGCGGCGATCAGCAGTTCTGTTCGTCTGTTTGAATGGACCACCGGCCCTTCAGAAAAAGAGCTGCATCTTGAGTGCTCGTACTTTTGTTTTATCAATGCTCTCTACCTGAAGACCAAGGGCGACTTTATTTTGGCTGGCGACCTGCAACGGTCGATTACGGTTTTGACGTACAAGTCGGTTGAATCGACACTGGAACAGATCGCGCAGGACTACCAGCCGAACTGGATGACCGCGGTCGAGGTGATCGACGACGATACGTTCCTCGGCGCTGAAAACTCCTTCAACCTATTCACTTCTCAGAAGGACAGCACGGCAACGACGGACGAAGACCGGCAGCGACTGCAGGTACACCTCAATTCGTTTTAGCTGTACATTTTTCAGTACTTTTAAAATTACTTCAGTATGTGTAGGTCCTATTAGTAGCCTGATCAAACTGATACTTGCTGCCTGATTTGTTCCCACACCTGTTTCGCATGTGATTTATCGCAACAAGTTTCTGTTTCTCCTTTAGTGCCTCGTCCCACCTCAACATTCATGCTTTTACTGCTTGGAGCATCCGATTAGGTCTGACTGATTTTAATCACCAGTCAACGAGTAATAACAGCATAATAAATGAGGATCATGTTTGAGGTTTTTTACCGCTTAATAACAAATTGAACGTTGTCGCGGATGAGAAACTGCCTCACGGGTTTCAGTTGGCTGAAAATGAAACTGTCTCTTCATAATAGTTGCTTGTAACGCTATGGATACCTTTGTCCATTGGTTCTGAAATCCATATGCTGTCTGTCGTATTACATTTAAATATAAAATATTATGCTTTGTCTTCCCGTTTATGACTTACCTAAAGATTTTATCATCTCCCGCATAAAGAAATCATGTACGATTTTCAATATTTAAATATTTTTAAATTATAACAAATATGATCATTTAAGAGTATGGAATGATAGGTTGTGATGAGCGCAGAGCCCGTTTCCAGTTGTACAGTTTATAGAAACTTTTTCGACAAATTTCGTCCAAATCTTTTGATTGCTCGGCATAATGGATTTCATGAGTTTTTCCATGCTTGGAGCAACATAAAAGAGGCTTAACTATACACTATGCAGAGCGGTGGGTTTATCTGATCGGCGATTGTTACTGATTTTTCGACCCTAGCATTACGAGCTTTTTTGGACATAAGACTTATTGAAGCGGCCTGCTGACTCTTGTCTTGTCGTAAACCAAGTGCATCCATGCTGCTGCTATGACAGTTTGTCAGTGACCGATCTCTGATGTTCCTGATTTTGTTTCATTCAGAGTGAATGATAGATTGCATCGCCTTCCTCAGTTTTTTCAGATCAAACTAGTTTTCTGTTGGGTTTAACATCTTTCCAAACCATAATCTTAGTATTCAAATATTCTGAAATTGCTCATGCATTGACCGGAATTGCTCAGTCGGTAGAGACTCAGACTCAGTATCGAGAGATGCACAGATCAAGCCCCGGTCAAGGTCATTGACTTCTTTTCTTCCAATGTTGATGCAACGTTCATATAAGATCGACTCTAAGAAAGAAACAAGACACTGGACGCTACTCTTGACAGATAGTTGCTGTCGACTCTCCTGGCTAATGGCATGGAAATGGAGATCAGCGCCAGCCCAGCATTAACTACATGAAAAAAAGAGAAGATAACTAGATCCCGGTGCTAGTTCATGGTCCCATCATGAAACTGTAGGGGAAAATCGATATTCCAAAGGTTTCCTTCCTTCCAAGTTTTCGACC